TTGCACACTCAGCGTGGACTGAATTTGCCCTCCCGATACTATTCTGTCTCTCTGTCTTTTCTCTTAATGTCTTTAGCTAGCCTTTCTCAATCCACATCCCCCCCCCCCCAGGTATGAGCCACCGGCAAGTCAGCTGGCTCCAATTGCAGCCCCACAAACACATTTACAACAGTTGCCTCCATACTGCCTGTGAGTATGTCTGTGGGGGCATTTCCTTGATTAATTATCGATGGGAGGGCCCAGCCCACAGGATCGGTGCCACCACTAGTCAGGTGGTCCCGAGTTGTAGAAGAATGTAAGCTGAACAAGCCACAAGGGGCAAGCCAGCAGGCAGTGCTCCTCCGGGGGCTCCACTTCTGTCCTGCCTCCAGGATCCTGACCTGAGTGCCTGCCCTGACTTCCCTTCAGCCACAGCTCTTCTTTATGAATATCCCAAGTGACCCCAGTGTGCCAGCCCAGCCAGCGAAGCTGCAAACCTTTGCTTATTCCTGCAGGCAAGCTGTGTCTCTCCAGATGATATGTTGGAGCCCTGACGCTGGGTGTCTAGGGATGGAGCCAGATTTGGAAATAAGTGTCTGGAGATGAGATGATGAGTTGAGATCACACTGGATTGGGTGAGCCTGAAATCAGATGGGACTTTCGTCCCTACAGTGATGCACAGCAGGCACAGAGTCTCGGACGTAGAGAAAGCCGTGTGAGGACAGAAGAGCAAGGCGATGCTCCTACAAGTCAAGGAATGCTAAAGGAAATCACCGGCAAGATCCAAAACTCAAAAAAGAAAACAAGATACAGCATTCTCCCCAGAACCTTCAAGCAGAGCACGGCCCCAACATCATCTTGGCTTGATGTCTAGACTCGGGAATTGTGACAGAACAAAGGTCCGGTTATCTGACAGTCCCTCCCCAGGCCTGTAGTAGTTTATTATGATGACTATAGGAAGTCACTGCACATTATGAGTGAGCCTCATTTAAAAACTCAGAGTACCCATTCATGGTAGCTCTTTACCTGGGATGCTTTTGCCATTGGTATTTCTGGAGACCCTAATAAAGCTGCAGGACTCAGAAAATTACAACGCTCAAATCCCGGCATCCCCAGATTTCTGGCTACCCACTCTAAAATAGTTGCCCCGCTGTGGGGCTGTCCCCTTCAGAACTATTCCATTTCTTCACGACACTGACCTTCACTGGAAACCATATTCTGTTTCTTTCCTTATTGCTGACTCAGCAGACCATGAGCTGTGACCATGAGGACTATTCTGAGCCCACTCGCCAGTGCCTGAGAACCGTTCTAATTGCAAGGCACACCCTAGAGAGTGATCCAAAGAGCGACAAATGCTCAACGAGCAGCTACTGAATAAACAGATCAGAGTCTGATGCCCTATCACTGCTGTAGTCTCCAAAAAGATCACCGTTCTTAGCCTTCTCTTAGAATTCTCTGACAATTCCTGAGTCTAGACATCAAGCACACCAGTGAAGAAAAGCGACCTTTCCATCGATGTCTACAAGATGACGTTTGCTTCTGGACACTCAGCCCTCTGCTAAGGATTTCCTCTCTAATATAGAATGGAATATCTAATATAGTTTGGAAAAGAGACTGGTACCCAGCTTCCCACAGGGAATTCCTAATCTTGCATCCCAGGCTGCCATAGGGGTTGAGTTCTCATCAGTGCAACTGCACAGTCCCACCCACTAGGGGGCGACATAACAAAGACAGAAGCTGAGAAGCGTTTAGCCGAGTCTGCTTGAGGGAACAATCATGAATTCATGGCAATTATGGTGCTCATTCTCCTCGCCGAAAGGACTATCTCTGAAGATCATCCTAACTAAAACATGTGTAATGAGTTCAGGAGTTCCCACAGCACAAAATACACTCACAAAACGCAGACATCTGAAGGAGCCCAAAGAATAAAAGAAACCCAAAGCACTACAGCACGTGTTCATCCCTTGATCTAAGCAAGGCTACCAGGGGTAGGAACAACCAGTTCCAACCGAGAATCTTCAGAGTCATTCTGTGGTCCAGCTGGGATGCTGCATCTCCTTGTGTTTTTTGTTTGTTTGTTTGTTTTTGCTTTTGTTTTCCAAATAAAGTGGGATCTACAGCTAGACAATCTCTTCACGGGTGTGGGAAGAGCCGGGTGACTACCTCCAGACTTGTCAGACAATCAGGGGCTTGAAAGTATGACACAAACCACTGCTCTACAGTCAGTGAACGCCTTCGCCTTCCAGGATGATGGGGGATGTGTTAGTTTGCCTGCTGTGATGGTTTGAACAAGAATGAACACCGAAGGCTCATATGTTTGAAAGCTTAGGCTCTAGGGAGTGGCACCACTTGAGAAGGAATAAGGCGTGGCCTTGTTGGAGGCAGTGTGTCCCCTGAAGTCAGCTTTGAGTTCTGAAAGCCCCAATCCAGGCCGAGTGGCCTTTCTCTTCCTGCTGCTTACAGATTCGGATATAGACTCTCAGCTACTTCTGCAGCACGATGTCTGCCTGCATGCTGCCATGCTCCCCACCAGGAGCCAGGCCCAACTAAATGATTTCTTTTATACGAGTTGCCACTGGGTGGTGGTGGCAGAACATGCCTTTAATCCCAGCAGAAGCAGGGTGCTCTACAGAGTGAGTTCTGGGATAGCCAGGACTGTTACACAGAGGAACCCTGTGTGATAAAAAAGAGTTTCTGTGGCCATGGTGTCTCTTCACAGCAACAGAGCACTGACTAAGACACCTGTCTTGGAGTGAGTGTGTCATGTGACTGAACAATGGCAATGGGAGGTAAGCCGGAAAACACCTGCTTTCTCTTTTTCACTCCAAGTCTAGTTCCAGAGTTGCAGGTACCATTTTGACTTTGGGACCAGACTCCCATCCTAACAATGCACATGTAAAGAGAGTCCCTGGGGACCGTGAGTCACAGCTCCAGTTCTGGACTCCCTATTGCAGACTAAACATGGGGAAGATAAATCCTGTCTCCTTTAGGCCACTTTTTACTTATTGAGAGTTTTCAGCTATGACCTCTGAACTTGACCCTAATTGTCTCCAGGATGGTTCTAAGACTCAAGATAGCTTGTATCCTTGGATCTGGATTCTCAGGTTATCTCTGATGGTCTACAGGATCCAGATGGCAGAGCCTCAAAAGACATCTACAGGTCAATTTTCTTGTAGACCTTCATGTCTCCTAAAACAGTCAGTGACCTCATGATGTCAGTGTCTGTTTGCTATCCAGCCCCTAGGAACTGAGCCACTGTCCAGGTCCAGGGTTCACAAACAGGCTGGGGTGCCCAGCCACATTCCCTTGGACAGGATGGATTGAGGAGTGGTGCTTACAGGGCTAGCTCCAAGTGAGAGTTAACAGTAGACTGTTGAGCCCAAATTCAGTCATGCTGCATCAGAAACTGTGAAGGTGGATCCAGCAATACATGGTGACTCTGGTTCAACCAAAAGCTTGAGGACCCTGGATTTCTGAAAGGAATTTTACTTTGTTACCAAAGAATAGCCAGGAGTTACCTAGGGGAAAAAAAGGAGCTTGGGGCTTGGGACAAAGGAAGAAAGAGGCCAAAATAGTCTTCAGTGTCTGGGACAAAGGCACTTACTCCCATGAACTAAGCAGCTTGATGACTATACTTGCCAAGAAATTCCTTCTTAACATGAACTCAGGATTTTCAACTTCTGCTTGGCTCTTCACCTGGCCTTCTTGAGGAAGACCTCAAAGAATGGGATATGGAGCCTCCATTTATCCTGGTCAAAGAATGACAGCTCTGGAGAGGTCTTCTGAGGGAGCAGCCAGCAGATTCTGGCCCACTGAGAGATTAACGTTCAGATCCAGGTGTCTGGTAAATGAGTCGTCATGGGGCGTGGCCTGACAGTCTCCCAAAAGGAGAAAAGGGAAGTGTAGCCTTGAAAAGCACAAACACCAGCCTCCTAGACACTGGAGCAGAGGCCTCCGGGGCCTATTGGGTGGAAGGCTGATGGTGGATATCTGTTGGCTTTCAGCTTATCTCACTGGCTTTTACTTCAGAGTGGTCTGGTAGCTGGGGGGAGCTGGCTCTGTGATGGCTGTAGACTTCCTGCCCATTGTGGTCAGTTCTTCCTATTCCCAGGCCTCCTGAATACTTGGGGATGATTTACAAATCTCCAGATTTGAAACCCTGACCTCCTCTTGATGAGTCTAGGAAAACACCACACCATCAGGTTTGAACAGCCCCGGACAAAGGTCAGATGAGGCATTGACAAGAAATGTACAGCCAGAGAGAGGACGCTACGTGTGGGGTGCTTTGCCGGTGACTTGTCTCAAGCTATGGGCTTCAGGGGCAGTGACAAGTGCAATGTCAAGACCCCAGCCTAAAGAACTCACCACTGGGATGGTGGCAGGTACTGTGACAACAGCCCGCGCATCAGTTTTGTGGCATGACAGGTAGCTTCGGGTAACTCTTGTTTCTTCACCCTGACACAAATCCTATGACTCTTTTTCTGACTTTCTGTTGCTGGCTATTAAAATGTGACTAACTCCATGAGGAGAAAGTTATAACAATCATTAGGCCCTTAAGGAAATGAGAGCTACATAGAATCCGTTACCTGCTGTGGCAGGGCTGGTGGTGGCTCTGACTCTCCAGGAATTGTTGTGGATGGAACCCTGACAGCCAAGGGCACACCCAGGCTGAGCTGAAACAGTCCCTGCAGGAATCTGGGGCAGCTCCCACCAAACTACATGAAGGTCACGAGACATCAAAGACCTTAGGGTAAGCCATTTTGATTTTCAGACTCCCGAGTGAACCTAGCTCCACTCACATCACAGGAGTGTTGTCCCCTGAAGGCCAGAGTTCCCTTCGTTCCCTCCTCCATCTTCAGCTCACTCAATCACATCCTCATCCCTCTCTTCTAGAACCCAAAAGGCCATGAGGCCTTGCAGACTACCCTGCTCTGGGATAATCAGATCTGGGGGCGGGGGATTCGCTCCCCCTCCTGCCTCTTTTCCCTACCCTCCACTTTCAGCAATTTATAGGCACCAAGAAAAATGATAAGACATTTATTGAGTCATCTACAGCAGTTTGACATCCTTAAAATCCCAGACAAGGTGTGAGCACAGCGTTAATGGAGGCAGCAGTAGCAGTGAGGTCCGTGGGATTTATCTTTATTGTGGGAAATTAAACTCAGACTGATCCAGCTCCCACGAGTGGGCCTGGAGCTAATCTGGAGTACCAAGGGCTGACCCAAGCCAGCCCAGACAGACACAAAGCCTCAGAAGACAGACAGCAGACAAAATACGCATGGCTGAGTACAGCAGACACACCACAGGACCTGGAGTTCAGGGGCGGGGAGGAGAAAGAATGGGCATTTGTCCCACTTGAGGAATGTCCCATACCCTTGGAGGATTCCTAGGCAGATGGCACAGAGGTTCTCACAGCACTCATAGAGCTCTCCACGTCCTTACCTTCAATGCAAACTGAACAAAGTGAAGATAAAGCTGGAGATTAAGGTCTACCCAGAGCCCCGTGGCCTCACCCTCGGTGCTGGTGGTCTTTACAAATGGGGTAACAGTTAACCCAAGGAGGCTCAGAGCAGTAGACTGGTTGCAGGGGATACCTTTTGAGGGTCTTCACCCTAAGAATGAGCACACGGCTATGTGGTTTACAGAGCTTGTAAACCGACAGTGAGCATTTCACTTCCACCGCATCCCTACTTAGGGAGCAGATGATTCTGTAACCATGGCCACACCACAGCAGATTAGGGGTTGAGAGTAAGTATGGGGTCCCAGGACAGACGGAGAGGGCTAAGTTTGCTAGCAGGTATCCTTATACCCCACCAACTCCATTGCTTCTCCAATACTGTATCATGGACTCCCAGACATTCTGAAGGTGCAGCCATTCCTAAAGAAGGTGCAGTGTATTCTATGACTGCTTGGAGTGTTGTATCTGGCTCACACGCAGGGCTGGTCAGTACTGGTAGGGCCACATTCTCATTCAAAAGCATGCTAGGCCCACCTGTTTCCTCATGAGCCCATGGGGAAGGTTCACCCTTCAGATCTCCAAGTTGCTCACAGCTCTAATAGTCTTTGAATTTCCCCTTATAAGGGATGAGTCAAGGTCAAACAGCAGTGAGCGGCTAAGCTGGGGAACCCCAAGTCCCAGACTCCCTGGTCAAGGCTCTTCCAGCTGGTTTCCAGACCCCCTGGACTCAAGTGGTATTTGCAGTGTTACAGTACTTGCTGCCTTCTCTTTGCAGGGGACAAAGGGTATACACGGAATTAAAGAGTGGCTCGCAGCTTTTCTTCCAAGGAAGAAGGGGCACAGGTGACAGGTACAGGGTTATTTCCAGCACTGGGCCCTGAACAAGCTCCCAGTCCCCCTCCCCGGAGAAGTCAGTCCAGAGAAGATGGGTTAGGGAAGGGCTCACCATGGGCTCCTGAGCATGCCAAGGGAACCTCACCACCGTACACAGAGAGTGCAGTCAGGTTTTCAGCATGGCGGATGCCAAGGATAAAAACTGCAGCATCCCCCAATCCCTGTGACTCCCTGGCAACCTAAGCCTTCCCCATGTAGATCCCGTTTTGTGAGGACTAGACCCTCTTCTGACACTTCCTGTTTGCCCTGTAGATGGACAGTCATAATAGGAGATGGGACGAGACATGGCTGTCCTTCCCTCCCTCCCAAAGGGTGTGGTCCATGAGATTTGGCCTTCCGAGTTTCCTAGAACAAGGCCCCACTCCCCAGGAATGATCCTCTACAGGCTGGGTGACCTTGGATCGGCTCTGACACTGCTTCAGGGTATCTAAGTCCATGAAGCCCTTTTCACCTACCAGACAGGATCCCTTCCCCATTTTCCCTTCTCTGGGCCCGGGCTGTATTACTGCAAGCCTTGCCAGGGGCCGATTCCAAGAGAAGATGGTTGGTGTTTAGACAGAACCCCAGAGGCACACTGGGCAACACACAAATTAGTAAGTCTTATTGCTTGGGCTATAGCTGTAGGAGGGTCGAAGGGGAAGGGTTTTACCCAGCCTTGCGCTGTCCCTTCACTGCCTGTGGCCTGAGAGCCAGACCCTCCCAGGACATGCAGAATCCTTCAGGCACATCTGCTCACAAGACTAGCAAACTAATGTTAATAATAACCCTTCAGACAGAAAAACAAAACATCAGGAGCCCGGAACTTCTAGGAGGACGCAGGCCCAGGGCTCAGGAAGCAGCAAGGGCTCAGGACTGACCTGGTTTTTGCTGTTTTGCAGTGATGCAACTAGAAAGTCACAGTTTCTTCTTCCACAGTGAAGCAGACCCACTGGTGGGGGGTGAAGACAGGTGAGTGGGGTTCATAGCCCAGGGGCCACACCTTGGGTGGAGGGTGCCACAGGCCACCTGTGCCTGCCCAGCCTGGAAAACTAGCTCTGCACATCATATCTGAGGTTCTATTCAAATGACCGTGGCCCGAGCTTTCCTCTGCTCTGCAAACTTGCACTGTGGTACCCAAATGGGAAAATAAGCAGAATGCCATTCCCCTCACCACACACATGCACATGCGTGCACACCTCCTGGATGATATACACAACAATACATGTCTGTTTACCTGCCGTGGTTTTTAACTAACACCGAACCTGGAGAAGCACTAGAAAACACCTCATTTCACAAACAAGGATGCTTCTGCCCAGCACATCACACATGCATTCACAGTTACAGCATTCTGAGTCGATAGGAATCCTGAACCATGGCTTCCTCTAAATAGCTCAGGCTCCCTAGTAATGTCCAAAACACAAGGTGATCAGCTGTCTCTTATTTGGCTGATAACCTGGTTCTCAGAACAGAGGAAGAAATATGGAGGGGGATAAGGTTTGGGGTAAAGGGTCAATGTATACCCAGTGGCTGGTCCAAGCCACCAAATATTTTTGGGAAGGAACAAGGAGGAGCTTTCCCACTTCTGGCTTTACCAAAGATCCAAAAACTGAATTCACTAGTCAAGGATACAAAACACATGTCTACACCATATCAACTAGAACCTTCTCCAGTATTTCTAATGGTTCCTCCAGCAACACCGTCTCAAATCTTACTTAATACAACAGCAAGCCAGGCAGCACTCCGTCCGCACTCCCCATGCATCCCAGAGCACAACCATGAACAAGTCCACAGAGGCAGGGACAAAAACAAACACCAGCATGGAAAGAGCTGGGCCACGTGGCCCCACGGCCCCGCTTTTCCCCTCCATCTCCCCAAATCTGGGTGTGGCCTTATTTTAAAGTGTTGGGTTATGGCTGTGCAACCTACAGCTGGAGAGTCAAGATGGGCACTCTTCCTCCCATCTGTAGCTTCTGCTCATGCGTGTGACAGACACAGCATCCCCTCCAAACCCTCTGAGAGGCCCACGTGCAGTTCAAATGTCAACGGAACATGGTGAAAGTCTTGCAGACATCTGAGTCTAGTCATGGAGTCCAGGCTGGGGGCGGCTTCTACAGTTCCTTGTCATCAGTAGAGGTGTAGCTGTGGGGATTCCCCAGGACTTGGCTTGTGAAAACTGAAAGTTGCTTCAGAGCTCACTGATATCACTACAAGGTGGCTGGTTCATTCTAGACATGGCTTTGACTTCGGGGGAAATTGAGAGAGGAGAGCTCGGGGCTCTCTGTGGCTGGCATGGCTGGAGAACGGCTTCTTCAGACCATCCATTTTAGGCAAGATGGGTAGATGTGAAGCCACCACACGATCGAGTCTCGAGTCAGGGCACAGTCGTGGACATGGTAAGATCTTCAGCTGTCCCATTTCCTTCCCAAACGCATCTGCGTTCCTGGCTCTCAGCTTTCAGATCAAATGAAAAGCACCAGAACGTTCCCTGACCCTCACCCCACCCCAACTTAAGTTGATTGAAAGAGCCCTGTAACCCTCCCATCATCCAGGCATACAGGATCTGAGTACCTGGACAACCTAGATGTCAGGTAAGCAAAAGGAGCCTCAGGTTGACCCACTCCAAAGGATGCTCTGGCCACTGAGCTGCATCCCTGGCCAACTATAGGACTTGGTACAGGCTGAGAAGAGCCCACATCCAAAGTCAATTTAGTGAAAGGCTTCTGGGTTGGGTACTACCCCAGCCTCTCTCCAAAACAGGCCTTTTTCTGCCTCAGCTCACAAGGCCTTGTACCTGGGATCAGGCCATCACTGAGGCTGGCCTTGACACAGTAGGTCAAGCTGGAACCTGGCAGAAGTGAGCAAGGGCACGGGTTGGGGGGAGAGTTGGGGCAACTTTCCAAATTTGAGGTGTATTTACATGTCAAATTGGGCTCAATGGACCACAGTAGGCGGGACCCAAAAAGGAGGAGCAATATCAGCCTACACCCTATCTCTCTCTTCCCCCTTGGGGAGGAGCCCAGCTTGCTACCCAGGGCCTGCCCAAGGAGAGAGGAGAGGCACAAACACGCGCAGGCACCGGCCCGCAGCCCCAGCCTGTGCAGGAGAAGGGAGACAGAGCTCAGGTGGCCAGGTTGTCAGCCGGAAGGCTGGACATGCGGAGCTGGGAGCTGCTCTTGCTCAGGATGGACAGCTGGGTCCCTCCATTCACTCCACTGCTGGCCAGGGACGGGTGCCGGTGCTTGAAGTCCATAGTGAAGTAGCGGTTCACCTTCCAGCTCCTCCATTTCCTCTTAATCTCTGCCTGTACCTGCAACGAGCAATGTGTACGTGACTTCCCAGTGAGCACCTTCTAAGCCTTTGCTGGTGATTTCCCAGCTGCCATCATGACTCGCCACCCAGCTCCTACTTCCCAGCTGTATCCTGCAGCCTTGTCCTAGCCCATTTTGGAAAGGTCTTCGGGCAGCTTCCTGCTGTCTGGGCCTCTCAGTCCTTTGGAACTGTCAAAGAGAGTTGTCCTAGCAACCTCTTGAAGCAAATGGACCAAATAAAGGTCATCACCCCTGTTGGCCACCATGAGATGCATATGAGGGTTACTCAAATAGCTTAAAATATCCCAGATGTCCAAAGCTTATGAATGGTGATATCAACATCTCTGGATAAGGCCTAGATATCCACAGCTTCGAAGGCTTCCAAGGTGAGAAGATTTCTGAGACCGAGAGTCAGAAAATGGTCCATGCCTCTTGGCAAACCCCCATGTAGCTTTGCATATAGTAAATGCTGGCCATGCCAAGAAAACATAAGCCTCCGTGTGCCGCTTCAGCCAAGCACCTCTATGCAGCATACAAACTGCACGACTAGAAGCAGCGTATATACCCACTTTCTCCACTTCGTGCCTCCACGCCCTCGGCAGACTCCTGACAAGATGCCCATACTCCTGCCTCTAGCTCTCTGAGGATCTTATGCAAGGCTCTCTCTCTAGGCTCTCTTGATCCATTATAATCTGATCGAGGTTGGCCTTCTGGTCACGGAGCCTTAGTTGTCTTGAGTCTCAGATGCAAACAAGAGGAAGAACCTGATGAGACCATGACCTTTCCACTAACACCAGAGCCTTGGGGAAAAGACCTCTCTCCACTTGCAACCCCATCCACATAGCCGATCCCCAACACTTCCCTGGCACCTCTATCCTGGGCCCTATTCCAGAACATTACCCCAAGCAGGCTAGATAAGGAGCCCCAGATGGTAGCTCTGGGTATGAAACACCTCAGGAAGACTCCAGGTTTCTGCTTAGGGCCTCTTCCAAATTCTCATAGGCTCTGTGCTAACAGGGATAATCGGGCTGCCTTACCAGGGCTCAGTAGCTCTCCCCATCACAGCCTGATAACCTATAGGTACTAACTCCTGCTCACTGCACTGAGGCATGTCCTGTGGAAAGAATGCGCCCTGGAGTTGTGCTCTCAGCAGACATGACTTCACTAACTGTGCTCTACTCTGTCTTCAGTTTTGGCTTTAGTTGTAGGGTTGGAATGATTCTGGAACAGGTGAGGGATTTCAGGAGATGTTGGTACCACATTTAACACTGGCAGCTATGTCAGCTATCCTCGGTACCGGGAACCTGGAGAGTCCCGTCTGAGCAATCTGCTCCCGGTCTGTCGCCAGCAAAGCCCACCTGTGCAGCCAAGGAAGGTAGAAAAACTGTGTCTCACCTCCCCATTTAGGAAGCAGTAGAGCACGGCCACCACAAAGCCCTGGGGGAGAGAACACAGACAACCATGAGTCCTACCAGAAAGGGCCCTCCTGAGACACTGTGGGCATGTGGGAGGAAGGGCAGTGGAAAAGATTCCAGAAAGAAGAAAAGCCTCACAGTCTAGACAGGGCGCGCCTGTGCAAAGCTCTACAGTAATATGGAATGCATCCTGCTGCACCAAGACAGGCACTTCCATGAAGCCAGATGGTTGATAGACCAGTCCCCACAGCCAGACATCTCTTCTTGGATCTCACATTCACGTGGCCAAATCCTTCCCATCGCTGGAGACTATCTTCAGTCCTAGGGAAGCCACTCGCCCTTTCTAGAGGGGCCAGAATGTTCTCTGGGCTCTGCTACTAGTCTGCAGGCTCCTGAGAACAGGACTCCTTTGGAACAGAAGAGACGCATATGATCTTTATCCATCACTAACCCTGCTCTGCCCTCCCTTGGCAAGCTGCTTCTGGACACAGCAAAGCAAACCATGTGCAGCAAGTACTTGGCAGGGCATGGATCTAGCTCTTCTGCCCGAAACAAAGCAGCCTTTTCCTGAATGCTGGAAACCAGGTCTGTAGGACCTCACTACCCTGGGCTGTCATTTGAAAAATATCAAAGGACCGATGGCTTGACTATGCCAGCAAATGTAAAGATGGAAGCCTTGGGCTGTAATTCCTGGGTCAGAGCATCATCTGTAACACTCCCGGCCTCACCAGAATGTGAAATCATGTGAAAGGACTTTGAATTAAAATTCAAGGCATTTGGGCAGAGTGTTTTCTGACCATCAAACTCAAATGCCAATTTAAAAACGCGGCTCAGGGAGATATGCCCCCTTTTGCAACACACCACTATTAGCACCTTCACTCACTTCCTAGCTGTGATGTGTGCATACATTAGAGGCACCTACTCCCTCCTGCTCATACCCTTGCTGTTCTGTTCCTCATCTTGCCCCCACACCCATTCATTTAAGGATCTGCCCAGGTACCTCCAGCCTGGTCAGTTCTGTGTCAGGCCCTACACTGGGGTCCTCTGCGCCACCGACTCAAGGTGGATAAGAGAACCCAAGTCCTTATGTGGCGGCAGTACAGGGCTGAAGTCAGAGTGTGAACACATCACAAGAGTCTTAAAGCCATCCATTCTCATGGGCTTTATAGGACGATTTCATCTCTAGTCCCTCAGGGGCACCTGGACCAGGATCCCCCAGCACAGTGACAGCCAGACTTTGTTGTATCTTAGAGCAGCAGAAAGGACTGTAGGGGACTTATGCTCCAGCACTCATGTCAGAGACAAACACTGGGGTTAGAAGTCAGGGTTCACAGGGTTACAGAGCTGTCAGCAGTTCAGAAGTCAGGGCTTAGCTTCCAATGAGCTATGCCCTCTGCGCGCATCATGCCTACCTGGAAGGAGCCCAGTCCAAGCTCAAACACAAGTCTTTCCCTCTTGCTGACATTCTCTGGAGAGAAGGCGAATACTGTGTAGTGGATTCCAAACAGTGGGATGAGCAGCAGGGTGGAGCGAGCCAGCCGTCTGTCAGGAGAAAGCAAAAACCTGCTCGGGGGACTGCAGGACTTGGGATCGGGGAGGGCAGAGGACCTGTCATCAGCCCTGGCTACCTCTCAGTGCCCCTGTTCACAGACTTGCTTGGTATGGTTTACTGGTGCAAGGGGTCTGGGAGCAAGGAAGCCAGCTAGAGCCCAGGGTTCCTAGGATGTTGTAAGGAGGCTTCCCCAATCTGCAGGGTATCTAGTCAGTATCTTGCAGAGCCACTGAAAATGAATCACTTACAGGGTCCCTTGCATAATATATAATTCAGAGGAAAATTCAGGGTAGAATTCCAGAGTCTTGAGCCAAAGTAAACCTGTCCTGGCTCAGAAGGAAGCTGCATGACCTCAAAAACAGCTGCTGTAAGACCCATGGAGATAGGACTTTTCTGAGTCTGGGGATATCTAGGGACACTTGGGAGCAATGTTGATGCCTAGGAGGGAGGGTACTAGGTGGACCATAGGGGAACATGGGAGGGTTTCAAGGAAGGACTTTCTGGTTGGGCAGAAATTCTGGCTGCACAGGAGAGAGCTGCTGCCCCAGAAACTGAGTCAAAGGATGAGGTCCACCCTAAGGATGGATCAGCAAGAGAGCCCACCATGCCTCCTGGGACCCTCCCTGTGCTGCTCTTAGCTCTTGTGATAGAGACAGGGCAGGGCCCTGTCTAACAGTGCAGGGACAGAAGAGGTCCACAGTGAGGTCCACACGTGTGCTGGGAATGCTGCCCTGGAGAGAGTAAATTCTTACAGGGGCTTCCCAGAGTGGGTCCCATCTCTCCCCATCCCAGCACACTGAACACCTATGAGCCTCCCCAAAGAGGCCAGCTCTCCTCTGCAAATGTTTCCCCCTCAGCTGTATCCCGTGCTCCCCCCACCCCGCCCCCGGGACCTTCAGCCTCACCCTGTGCTGCCACAGCTTAGTCCTCAGAAGGGGACAGTAAATAGAAGGGTGACCAATTCTACCACTGCCCCTCATGTCCCCCTCCCAGCCTTTCTGGAAAAAGGCATCCCATTGAATGTCGGACTCCAGATTTCTAGAAAAGCCAAATCTCTAGATTCTGAAAAAAGTTCCTGGTGTCCCAGCTTCTATGAGAAGGAAGACGTGAAGGAGGAAGGGAGGAGAAAGAAAAGGGAGGAGAGTAGGGGAAGGAGGAGAAATGAATAGAAGCTTGAGGTGGTCTTTAGGAGAAGATTCAGCCCACAAAGGAAGGAGCCCACAACGGTGGGGCTCACAGTGTCCACCTTGCTTGAAGGCAGCATAGTCTATAGTCACTGAAGGTCCTCAGACCAGGGCAGGGTGAATGGGATGTGAAAGAGTCCCTGCAGTGAGCCCACCTGGGTTGCTAGCAGTCTGTCCTCATTTCTGTCTATAGCTGGTGGCCCTGATGAGGACCCTCTTTTATCTGTCAGGTCTCACAGCAAGTACCTTCAGGCATACAGTCAACACTGGAAATGCCCGTTCCATGGAAGAGCAGCAGTGCTGCCAGGCACATGAGCTAGTCCTTAAAACCCAGTATCTCACAGGTACCAGGTCCCACCTGCCTCTCAGTGCCCAGGATCTGGCACCAGAAAGCAGCATCTTGTGCCTGGGGACAGAATGGAAGTTGGAAGAGCTGCGAGATGTGCTATGCATGGCAGATCTGCGGATCCTGTTGGGTCCTGAGCAGGTTAGGGCCCTGCTTTCCTCTTCCAACTTCCCCTCTACAGTGGTCCCATTCCAAGTTCACTCCAGCAGAGTGAAAAGGAACCCGGGAACCAAGATGCTAAGCCTCGCCGGTATTCACAGTAGTATTCCATGTCTTGGGTTCAGGCTGAGAAACTGGCTTTCAGAAACAGTGTCAGACCCTTCCCAGACACAGGGCAGATGTGGGACTGAATTGAGAGTTTCCCAGGGTGTGGCCCAAGAGCAGTATCTGCCCTCCCACAGCTCTGAAGCAGGGATGACAACTGGGAACTCAGAGCACCTCAGGGGCCCTTGGCAGACAGGGCTTCATGAACCCAGTGTATGGGACCTGTAGATGTCTGAGCTGACTGTCTGGGAACGGAAATTTTCAGGCAAGCTAAAAGCCTTGAGTGTGATTAACCCAGAAAGACAGTGACATAGCCTCTACCTCGGCTCGCCTATCCTGAAGAGCCATCAATAAGAAGAGTCCCACAGTCCCAAGTAGAGCTTCTGGTGCTCAGAGCCACCCAAACTATCTGTGGGTTGCTAGGAAGACCACACCTCCTACTGTGTGGGTGTCATAGGTGACCTGGGGTGTGATTCCTAGGATGCAGTAGGTTCCAGTCCTTTCTTTCCCAGTCATGTGACTTACTCCACCTCATCATGCTCCCGTTTCCTTGTCTAAGAAATGGAGACAGTACAAGAAGCCACCTTACAGGATCCTTGTGGAGACTGAAATCAGCCAAGTAGCACACGTGCTCAGCCCAGAGTGAACTCATCCCATCTCTTGACAGTTCTGAAACTGCCAAGACTAAAGCCCAGAGAAGTAGGGATCTGAGGAAAGACATGCTTCGTTCAGCGGCCACTAACTCATGACTGTAGAATGAGTCGGGCATCAGTAGTAGCCACCAAGTCAAGAGGTCCTTGCAATGCCACAGCTCCAATACCCATAATCCCTCCAGCCCCACCCACAAGACTGCAGAGAACTCACAAGACACATGTCAGCATGCAACAGCCAGGAAGAGGGGCAGGCTGGGAGGCTCAGGGTGGCTCTCCACACTCCTCCAGCCTAGCAGAACACGGCACAAGGTGGTGGTAGCAATAGCAGCATGCATCCCCCACCCCTTCAGGACACCCGGCCACAGCCACGGCCACACACACTTACAGAGTAATGGTGGATAGTTCTGACATCTTGCAAGGGTGCTGCTGAGCCCGCTGTGGCTTGCAGTAGCATTTCTGCACGCAGCTGCTGGGTGTGACAAGATTAGCACTTCTGTCAGCTGGGGACATTGGGCGATGAAGAAACTGCAGTAGGACTTGGGAAGACTTAGTTCACAGGGCACAGGGAGGGCAGAGAAGTGAGGGAATGGAGACAAGCTAAGGAAGTCACTCAGAGAAGGAGGAGGAAGCTAAGGACTAAAAACACAGTCAGCTCTGGACAAAGGAAAGCATGACCATAAGTATTAGTGTGTGGTTCTCTCTCTCTCTCTCTCTCTCTCTCTCTCTCTCTCTCTCTCTCTCTCTCTCTCTCTCTCTCTCTCTCTCTCTCTCTACACACACACACACACACACACAGTGGGGTCACTACTAGGCAAGAAGTATCAAAAGGCAGGTGTGTTCAGGAGATAAGACCTGAGCTGGGAATCAGACAAGGAGCCAGAGTCCATCCCTGTGTCGGCCCCATACTGAGAGCATGGCTTTGCCAAGGTCACCCAGTAAGATGAAGAGCTGGAAACCCATGCTGTGGACCTCACGCATAGCTGGCAGGAGACAGAGTTCTGGGCTTGTTAGCAAAGATTACCGTGGATGTTCTGACTATCTCTTCTTCTCCCACCCCGACCTCCTCTCAGTGTAAGGACACAGGAGAGTAGCAGCAGGCCAGACTTAATGGGTTCATTAGTCTAGACCTGTATTTACCTACTAAGATGGCCACTGCCCTAGGTGGTATTCAAATTAAAATTAATTAAAATCCAATCAAATGAAAACTCTACTATCTCAGCAATCTAGTCACAGCATCAGAGTTTATAGTCACATATGACCAGCAGTGACCATGCTGGATACAGAAACAAGGCCATTTGAGGAATTCCACAGGACAGCACTAAGCTACACTGCTCCATCCAGGTATACAGACAGGGGCTGTAGGGCCAAAGCCTGTGGAAACAAGCCCCTTAGGAGGCGGTACAGGGGCCGGGCTGGCTGTGTGTCCTGCTGTCCCCAGTCACAAAGGCATCTAGCTGCACTCCTACCTCTGCTGAGTCTTCCTGGGCCTGCTCATGCTTGAGCTGGTATAAGCCAGGGACACTAGTTTTCCCTACCGGAGATCAAGAGTCACATCACCTAGATACCAAGTTACCTCCCATAGAGGGCTCTGGGCAACTCATACTGGCGAGGGAATGCATTAAACAGGTGTGGACTAGGTGCCAATGAAGGTGAGCATGCAGGAACAATTAGGTCCCTAACAGCCAGACCTGCCTTCTGACTCCAGCTGAGAGTGGATCTAAAGGCAACTGGAGTCTGGGGACACGTCACTCTGCGGAGGCAAGAACATGTATTACATGTTTCCAGATGAGGCCAACGCCAGCCTGCCCAGCAGACTGTTCCTCTCCAGGCCTGTGGTACTCATTCAATAAATGGCATCTTATTTCATGTCACCTACGAGGTGGGTGCTGTGGGCCTATTTTGTGTTATTTGATACCTTGCTACTCAAGGGGTTCCCCAGATTAGCTGCAGGAACAGTACCTGACTGCAAATCAATAGCTTACTATGGTGCCACTCTGGCCTACTGACCTGAAGCTCAGGAATTGCATTTCAACCTCAGCTTGGGGTATAATGGAGACACACTGTTGCAAGGTATTCATGAGAAGTTTCTTGTGTGTTCCTCAGAAAATGACAAAGGACTAGACTGTGTGTGTGTGTGTGTGTGTGTGTGTGTGTGTGTGTAATGAGAGAGATCCAAATAAAAAAAAAAAACAAGGATCTCTGGGGTCTACAGGAACAGTGGCTATTCTTGCCTTCTCTTTTCCCTTGCCCAGACCAAGTGGCTAACAACCCTCAACTCTGGCTGAAGCAGACAGGGCCAGTCTAAGAAACTGTACATCCATACACCTGTTGCTCAGTTTCTGCCACCTCCAATTCTAAGCTTTAGCCCTTCTCCCCCAAACCTCTCCTCCCCCCCCCAACTGTCCCTTTTGGGGAATCCATGACATTTTATAGAAAACGGACTCCTCTGATTTTCCTTTAAAAATTCTTGAAAATAGCCGAAGGACAATTTAGTGGCATGTTTACTGGGATGGGTTTCCCTGATGGGAGAGGAAGGTCAAATCAAGGGACAACCAAGGCAAGGTGACATGCAGAGGGCCTCCAGGGAGACCCTCCAGAGGAAGAGGGGAAGAGGCCCTCTCCCAAACCCCTGCCCCTAGCCTGTGGTGACTTGCAGACTCACTGAAAAGCAACAGGGTATGCCAGAGAGTGAGAGAGGCAGTGTGTAGGACTCCCAGGGTAACTAGGCAAGAGGGGAGAAGAGTTTCATCTACAAATACACCCAGGCCAACCTGGAGGCCCCCACAGAGTCCAGGAAGCACAGGAGACTCAGGAGTGTGTTAGGTGGGCTCCCCCAATCAGAAGATGGAAACTTCTCATGGTGGGGGCGGCCTATGGGGATTTGAGTCCCCTCTGCGAGTCAGGGAGCCTCACTTCCAGGTCCAGCTCTGACATGGCTTCTCTTCATCTATGGGAAGGTCAGGGCTATTCCAGAGACTCAGCTCTCACATCTATGCCGGGGATCTGGCACAAGGTTTTTACAGCATGCTTTGTGCGAGGACCTGGCTGGACTCTAGTCCCAGGAAACACCCAATAGGATACTAGACAGACCGCTATCTATGCCCTGTGAAGACAGCAGCCCCACCATCTTCACCTCTGAGCCTAGGAATCCATGTACTACTGCTTCCTTGGCAGCCTACAGGCGACGGTGGTCTCCTGAAGCCAAACTCACCTGCACCTTCAGAACTGCCCAGTCCCCAGGAAACATCCTCCAGAAATAGCACCCCTGCTAGAAGTATGGCTCTTCACCACTTCTTCCTCCAACAAGGAGACACAATGAGCTTGGGACCCCAGAAAGCATCCAACCAGGTTCAAGGCTTTGTGGCCACTGACTTACAGAGTGGTTTTCTTTTCCTGAGTTTCTCAGGTTAACAGTTTTCCCCAAACCACCCCTGACAGAACTCTGTGGGCAGATGCTCACTGACAGGGTGGAGGTCATGGGGTACAGGGACTGGAAGGCCGTACCTGCAGGCCAAGCCCTTGTCTGAACATCCTGATTGAAGGGCTGCCTGTGCACACAGGGCCTGTCCTAGGAGGAGGCGGAGAATCCCTGTGGGGGCGGGGGCTGCACATAGGTCTTCCCTCCCTATCTCAGACCTAAGAGGTAGCTTCCAATGCCCACCTCCAAGAGTAGAACCAGTCATGGGCACTAAGAATGAAGCCAGGCCACATCATGGTTGAACTGTGCCATTCCTTGCTCATTCTGAGTCTTCCAGAAAATGTCCTTCTCCTCCACCCTCCAGAGTCAGAGAGCTGTGCCAGGCAGAAACTCAGGCTGAAGGCCAAAGCAAACCAACCCTGCCCAGTCCAGGGTTGGATGTTTGCACAGCCCTAACCTGAGCCCCTGCTGACCCTAACACAGTCCCAGGCTTCCCTGCCCTCCACAGGGCCCCACATCCGGCAGGTCCTTCAAGGTTGAGCCAGGAGCACCTTGGTTGACAGTGGACAAACCCTTAGCATCTGCACAGCTGGAACCAACCTACAGGAAAGGGGGTGAATGCTGGTCTGAGGGCACAGGCAGGGGGTCCTCTCGGGCTTTCTTGGGGACTCTCAGCCTTAAATTTGTTCTGGAAACAGAGGAAAAAACCAGAGAGCTGTTGTGGGGAGATCAGAAGGGGCTTTATAGCAAAATACACCCATTTGGGATCCCAGGCACAGCCCTGGAATCTACCACCATGCCCTGCCCACCCCGGGTTCTCCCTCCTCCCCACTGCAGGCATCTCCCCTTACAAGCAGCTTCCCAAAAGCCCTGGGAATGGAGTACTTTTTTTGGGGGGAGTGTCTCTGAAGCCTGGCAGGGATCTTCATCTAGGAAGCCTTTGATTTCACAAACTGGCTTAACCCTATCTTTTACAATCTGTGGATTCCCTGGGACCAGGAAGGGACGACAGAAGCCAGCTCTGGTACCAACTGCCTGCACTGGAGTCACAGCCTAGCCCCTTCCTCCTGGATCCACCAAACCTCAGGGAGCACTAGTGTCCTCTGCTGTAGAAGGGGATTCTAGATAGGGGTAGCCTGCCCACCTCGCCCAGCTGTGCCTGTGAGCATCAGCTGTGCGCAAGTGGTTTTTCACTCTCTGCAGCTCTCAGACGCTTTGTCACCAGGACCAGTGAGGTCTCCGTGACCCCGAGAACACTTAGACACAGAGCTGAATTCAACAGGATCAAGTTGATCCCTAGTCCAGTCTTAGCCTTTCCCTGGCTTACAGACATCATCCACATGGTTTTTTAATCTTTGAACCTGGAAGGCTATCATGGGCTTGGGGTTTTTCCTACCAAATAGCACTGGTCAAGCCTGTAAAGAGCTGTTTTTACACTAAGAAAGCAAACCAACTAGCTGCTTCTTCAAAGTTCTGGATTAACTTCGGAATATAAACATAAATACAAACCATGTGCTAATTACAAGTGGTTCTTATCTATGCATTAGGAAGGCCCACTGCTCTTTCCCATGAGGCCATGGATAGTGTTGCTGTCTGTGGCAAGGTATTTGATATGGCAAATGTGTGATCAGGGTTCCTGGAGCATCATTGTTCACTAAGCCCGAGCCCGTGTGTGTATCTCTGCAAAGCAAAGTAGGGGAAGCAGGAAGGAGCTTCCCATTCAGCCCAAAGATGACTCAGAGGCCAAAGAAGAAGATGCAGATTTGACCAGGAAGGGGAGGAGACTGAGAAAGGTTGACAGTGCTCAAGAGGGAATGAGGTTAAATTAACTTCTCACCAGCTCCAATGACAAGCGGTGGCAGTCAATAGGGGAGCCAGTCTACAAGGCAAGCAAGAGAAACTGAGGCTTGGCATAGAGACATGACTTTGGTTTCCTACATTGGACAATGAGGTGGCAGAGGGGAGAAGGGGGCTGTTTTGTGACTCCCCGAGACAAGGGCCTCTCTCCAGTACAGGGCAAGATGTAATATAACTACTGCGTTAACAAGAGGCCAGGGCTTACAGCAACAACTTCCTATTATGTCACAGATACAGACAAGGAAGGGCTGTTAAAAAGTAGTAAATAAATAAATGCATAAATAAACAGCTGCCAAAACATGAAAAAACAGACAAGGGTGCTTACGTATATAAATAATCATGACAAAAACATAAAACAGGCAGGGGGAAGACAGTAAAATAACCAAAAAAGGTGTCCTTTGTCAATGTTATGTAGTTATTGCAGAGGCAGAGAACACGTGATAAATAATAAAGATGCTGCACTAACTAACCACTGGCACAGGGATACAGTGGTTTCCGTCTCCCCGGAAGGAACCTTGAAGAGGGTCTGGGGTTCAGTCTTTGACGCACTCCTTTTCTACCTAAGAGAACGGCTGGTGAGAGCCCTCTGTCTCCCTCTCTCTACTGTCCCCCTCATTTCTTCTCAGGGGAGCCATCAAGGTTGCAAGCCTCAAGCTGGGTTCATAACAAAGACCCCAGTGATGCTGTGATGCCCCATGAGTGCCCGCCTCTACCCTGGGCTGCTACTATGCCCCTCCCATCAACCTCACAGAGCCCGTGACCTTTCTTTCTCTATAGCCTTAGCAGTGTCTCCACACGCTGCCACACCCCATTCCTGAGCCCAAAGGGTGAGTCAACCCAAGCTCTGTCTGATTTCGGAATGGGAAGGGGTTGGGATTGGGGCGGTTGTGTGTTTTCAGAGTAACAACAACTGCAAAACCGCTTCTCGGAACTCAAATGTCTGTAAGTGTAGCGAAAGCCTTGCACTCAGTGACAATCACAGAGCCGATGCTCCTCTGCTGGGGACAGAGGTGGCTGAGGCAGAAGGTCAGACAGATGCAGAGGTGGACAGAGCTGTTCTGGGGGAAGGCGGAAGAGAGAGAATCCCCCACACAGAGCAGAGGATGACCAAGGAGAAAGTCCCCCTGCTGACTGCCAGGCACTTGGCAGCTTCAATGGTAGTGGATGCAGGGGGAGTGGCCTGTCCCCGTCATGCCTCCAATCAGTTCTTCTTCCCACAGAACCAGCATCCCCAAAGGAAAGCCAACTTCTAAACAACCAAGACCCTAGCTACCCCAGGGACTCTGGAGGTCTCTGCTGATTTTCCTGCCACCAGAGGCTCTGTCGGTCTCTTTCTCTCTCTTTCCCTTTCCATGCAATGCCAGTGCAGCTGAGGAGCTCTGCATTGGCTGAGGCCTGGGAGGGCAGCTGTAGTTCACAGGCACTTTAATGAGGAAGAGATCTTGCAAACGCCCATGCTAGGTCAACCTGCCAGCAAAGTTCAAGCTCTGTCCTGCCTGTGACCCCGAGTGCAGGCCATGTGGTCGGAAATGGCTGTGGCATCCACATATCCACGCAGCATACTTACAAGTAGATGCTGGACTCGTTGCCTCCCATGTCCGGGGACTGCAACTTCTGTACAAGGATGATGATGATGCCGATGAAAAGCACAAAGTTAACCTGAGGAGGGGAGGAAAGGCAAACTCGAACTCTGTCCAGCTTGGCATCCCCCACCCCCTCCCAGGACCCTCTCCCAGCCAGGTGAGCTCCCTCGCAGACTTCTAAGCCTCCCAACGGAGTCATGCGAATGAAGGAAAAGACACAAGAGAAAGAATTCTATGCAAAAACAAAAACAAAAACAAAAAAACAAAACCTAGGAACAGAGAGCACAGGTAGTAAGCCAGGAAAGTGAGCACTGTCTGGAAGAGAGAGAGGAAAGAAGGCTAGGGTGGTGAAGTGACTGAACAGGTGACTGCACAGGTGACCCCAAGCTCTGCAGATGGTAGGGTTGCAGGCGTGCACTCTCGGGGCTTGCAAGGCCAAAGTAGGAAGAGTGCGCATTCCAGGGTAGCCTGGGATATACAGCAAGATCCTGTCTCAGAGAGAGAGAGGCCGAGGTGGGGCGTGGACGGGGAGTCGTGGAATACAGGGAGGCAGCCACAGCGTTCCTAATTAGAGGACTGCCTGGGAACAGCAATAGCAGCAGCACGTGCCATCAGGGACAGACGCTCTCCAAACAAAGTGGGAAGCTGCGTGTGCACTAAGAAAGGGGGAGGAAGGGCTGCAAATAAATGCAAAGGAGGCACAACAAGAAGACAGCAGGCACAGCGACATCTCTGGGCCAGAGCCAAAGTCGCCGCCGGCCCATAGGAAAAGAACAACACGATTCTATTTAAAAAACAATAACAGCTACTGAGAACAACCAAGTATCCAAAAGCTGGAGAGTGATCATATACCAGAGGGAATACTATGCAGGTAAAGAGTCGTGCCAGAAAGAAACCAGAAGCGGTAGGGGGCTTGATCAAGAAGGATACTGTTCGTTCTCTTTGTTTCACAGATCAGTTAGAACAAGAAAGCACACCCCTGCCCTCTGCCATGCTTGCTTCTGCTTCTGCTGCTGTCTAATTAATGCTTGAGTTAACTCAGCAAACACTGCTAAGGAGAAAGTACCATTAGATATCTAGGGGTGAGAACGAGGACAACACAGGAAAGAAACAGACTTCTTCAAATCCTGAGAGAATGGTGACCAAAGCCAGGAAACTAAAGAGAGCCACAACAACCCACTAGGAAGCGGAAGGGTCTGGGAAGACCAGTGAGCTCAGAAGGAAACTCCAGAGTAGCCAAGTATGTGCATTACAAAGCAATAGGCCCGCATAACTGCACAAACTTGCGAAGAAAATGCCGTTTCCCTGAAATGTAATTGCTTCTGGGAAAATAAAAACAAAATCTCAAAGATCCTGCTGCTACTACTACTACTACTACTACTACTACTACTAATAATAATAATAATAATAATAATAAAAGAGGAGGCAGAGGGGTAACTCAGCCAATAAAAACCTTACAAAAAGCACGAGGACTAAGCGTGATCCCTAGAACTCAGGTTGAGAGAAGGGAAAAAGAAAGAAGAGGTAGGTGTGGCAATATGTGCTTGTAATCGGAGGGCAGAAGGGCAGACACAGGCAGGTCCTGGACTGCATTCCCAGCCAGTGAGAATCCCTTCACAAAAGCCCAAGTGGGAAAATTCTAAAGAATGACACTAAAGATTGATCTCTTCTGACTTCCCTACACACGGCGGAGGGGGGGGAGGTCAGAAAAAAAAAGCTGAGCATGGTGACACGGACCCACAATTCCTGAACTCAAGAGATGGAAGAAGAAAGACCACGAATCTGAGGCCAGCCTTGGTCATGTAGTGGGACCCTGTTTCAAAAGGCAAAACAAAGCAAAAGCCAGGCAGGAACAGAAAACAAACTCATACTGGCATCTAAGACACATGGAGAAATGCACACCCTTTGTCCCAGAATCTTACTCCTAGCAATTTATCCCAGAGACATAAGCACACGTGCTCACAGCCAGATACAAATGTATCCCTAGCGCTAGAGAAAAACCAGACTACGTGTATTATTCTATTCTGTCACAGGGCATGATCTCTTCAGCACATGTGATCAAATGTAACACCCGTGCTTAGCTTCATAACACACACAAAAGCCAGCCAGGAAGAAACCTTTGCCCAATTGCATGCAAGACTACTGCCAAAGCTAGAGCAAACATTGTCCTCTATAAAAACAAGGAATAAAAGGAACATTGGGAAAGATGGGCAAAAGCTGTTTTCATTTACAGGTTGCATAATTTTCTATGTAGAAACCCCATTTGAACCAAATAAAAACGGATTAAACTCATGAGAGAATTCAAAACTGTAGCTAAGGCAAGAAATCACAAAAACTGATCACTTCCCTATAAGACCCCAATAACCCATACTACAATGAAGGAAAGATCCCTAGACTCGACCAAGGCCCAGGCTGGGGACACCTCAGAGCAAGCAAAAGACTCCACAGACAGAGAATTTTGTCCTGTTCTTGGAGAAAATCAACTTTCCCCCAAACTGGATCTTTTCTTACAACTTAGCAAGGATATTCAAACATCTTCCTGGCTAAGTGAATGGGTGAGAAATGTTCAGCGGAACAAACAAGAAATTTACATATAAGGTGCTAAAGCACACAGGGTCTCAGTAGCTGGCACAGCTACCTGGGCAGACATTATGAATAGCACAAAGGTGAAAGTCTCCAACACACAGTGCATAGGTATTTGTGATAAATAACTTTTCAGCATGTAAGATTCTGTAAGAAGACTGTGAATTGGAAATGTGCAGCCATCAAAAATATGAAAGTAGAAAAATAAATCGCATTTTTAAAAAGACAAGGAATAAATGCAACATTTCTTAAAGATACGTTGATAGCCTACATTGTAGCCACGAAGTGAAGCAACTGAGAGGAGATTGGCTGTGTGGCTTAAGCTGATGGAAATCCTCCATGTATAAGAAGGAAGGCTGGGGATCGTAAAGATGAAGCCTGAGGACCCCAACGCATGGAAGTTACGCTGGCCTGGGAACATGACAAAGTGGCCAAGAGGTGTCACAGCTCCTCAGCTGCCCTAAAAGACAATCTGCCAGAGGACAGAATAAAAGAAGTTCACAGGAATGTCCAAAGTAAGCACAAGCCACCAAAAAGCTGTGTAGAAGTAAGGGTTTGGGCCCACCAACGACACAGAGAAACAGACATTCAGAAGCCACCGTCACCCTCCGTAGGACTATGCACCATCAAATGACAGGTACTGTAAGTACAGGGAGTGTTGGGGAACAAAGCCACCAAGAGGGATGTGACTTGTTGAAGCATTTTTGCAAAATGGTGAAGGATCTGAAATGTTAAATGTACACCCTTGACCAGCAGTTCCAGCTCTGGAGATTCATTTTAAAGAAAAACCTTAAAATGCTCAAAATTATGCATGAAATTATTCCCAACACCTTTCATAATAATTAAAAGTGGACTAACAGCCTAGTCCAACACTAGAGGAACAGCTTAATAATTTGTGCGTCGGTGCTACAGCATGCAATACGGCTGTGGCAGAGCTTATCTTCCCTTCTCCTATATTCTCTTTGTCTGCCTCTCCCTTCCCTTTCTGTTCCAAGGACACTCACCATTATAGAGCCAACCACAGGGCCTTTGATCACCCACCACAGAGCCGTGCTGTCGTTCATGTCCCAGCAGCTAAAAGAGGAGAAATTATAACAGGCACCTGCAGAAAACCACACGACTAGCTGGGGGACTGAACCCCACCTCCAACTCCCTGACCAAGGCGATCTGGAAGTAGAGGTGGGCTCGCTAGAAAAGTACCCCTCATCGGAGGCTTATTTTTCCCTCTGCTCCCCTGTCATGGCAGAGACCGGAGCCCAAGAATCAGGGTCACAGAGGGATCGTTGGAAGGGACACGTATCTCATTCAGACCCAGGGCTCTTAGGGTAACCTTGGGGTTGAGAGTGACCTCACCTTCAACTTTCTTCCTCCTTATCTCCAAAGGATACCAGATGGGCTCAGAAATGTACCCACTGTCTTGCTGGAGTGTCACTTAGGACAAGGCTGGCCACAAGGGGAAGGGGGACGCTGAGTAGGAGCCTGAGACCAGGCTTAGGTCTGGGACTGAGACAGGACTGGTCATATGGGGTGAGCACTCAGGTGCTGCCCAGGGCTGGGTTTTATTCAGAACAGCATGTGAAGCCAAGCAGGCAAAATGTACTCATTCTGGAGCTGTACTCACCCAGCATCATCGAAGTAGAGCCTCAGCACAGCCCACACGGTCACACAGACAGTAGGGGTCCCTGGAGAACAGGAAAAGGAAATCCAACTTGCCCCCAGAATACTCTTAGCCTTGGGTGGGGTGGGGGGAGCATGGGGGCCCTACTATCCCTCATACTTCAGCTTCTTGTCATACTTTCCATCTCCCCTAGCTTCACGACATCTGGTCTCCCAAGATGACCCCTGGGTATAGCTCTCCCTCAGAACGTGGGGTCCCACAGGAAGGACGTAAAAAAGGAAATGGTTCTAAGAATTAAGAAGCCCACAGCCTGGTGAGGGCTCTGTTACCTGATGTTTCTGAAAGCTGGGAACAAAGACACAACCGACCTGGAGGCCTGCACCCATGTGGACCCAGGCAGTGACCTACCCCAGCCAATGATGGTGTACCAGTAGAAATATCTCCTCTCGGGGAAGAAGGTCTCCACCAGCAGTGTGAAGAGGTACAGGCCTTCGATGAACAGCCAGAAGTAGTTGGACACCACGCAGTAGTGGAAGAAAACCATGACAGCTTTGCATTCCACCTACACAGACAGCAGAGGAAAGCTGAGCTCTCTGCCCTGCCCCCAGGTAAATCCTGAAAGCCAGCTCCACAGAACAAGGGAAATCCTGAGGCCTATCAGCACTGGCCTGCTCAGTCTCAGGCACCCCAAGGACCTAAGGTTATAGGCATTCCTGGATGGAGTAGGCAGAATACACAGCATCCCAGTACTCAGCATAGATAACCTTCTCAGCCAGGAACACGCTGTACAAAGACAGGCGATAACAGGCTAAAGCTCCAAGCTCCTCTCTCCCACCCTCTCTCCCTTGGCCAGCACTGTAAGCAGGTAAGTAAGAAGAGAAACAACCAGCAGTCCCCACAGGACACTGCTACAAAATAAGGATCTGGACACATCGCAGGTAGAGACACACATCTTGGCCCTGGGAAATCTCTTCTCAAACAGATCTGCAAGCCACGACCTCCCAGCCTGCCCTTACCCATCCCTACCATCAGCCAGTTCTCTGCATATACCTCCTTCACAATCTGTGCTTGGGAAGCATCTGCAAAGACCCTGGACAGCTGGTACACAGGTTTCCACACGACTGGTTACATAGTGAAGGACTGGGTAAGCCCTGTCTGAGCCTCATTCTCACACCGCCTTCCTGGCCCAAGGTCCAGGTTGAGGGCGTGTGTAGTTGGATTTTTCACTAGGCTCTAGCTCACAAATAATGACACAGAGACTTATTATTAACTCTAAAAGCTCAGCCTTAGCTTAGGCTTGTCCCGCTAGCTCTTATAACTTAAATCAGCCTGCTTTTATTAATCTACATTTTACCACGTGGCTTTTTTACCTTTCTTTCATTCTGTGTGCCCAACTCTCTGCATATCTGCTTTGGGTCTCCTCTGCTTCCTCTTCCTCCTTCTCTCTCTCCCTAGAAATCGCCTTTCTAGCTATTCAGTTCAGCTTTCTACTACACAATATGTCTTCACACGACGTACAAATGCCCCACAGCAGGCCTGACTGGGTTTTGGCTGGGAGAGAGGTCATACTGTAATCACTCCATAACTCCTGAACTTCCACGTGAGCTGGATGGGACAAGGCTTTCACCTGCAGGGACACCTTCCCTGTAGGGTGCTAGCAGGGCAGAGTCCTGGGGTGTCCGGGCTGCTTGGCCCACTTACGGTGGAGATGAAGCAGTGACTGCTGTCCTGCTCGGCATACAAGATCCAGTCTTTGATGAAGACGGAGATGGCCCTCAGCATGAAGGACACGAACAGGTTCATGTGGATGAAGTTCCGGGTGCAGTGTAGCTTCCTGCGTGGACCAGGACGGGGAGGCCATGAACTGCGTAGCATTCCACACCCTCCACGGGTAAGGCATATGCTCTGGGTCTACTCACGGCTCATCTTAATGAGGGGTCCCTCTCCCTGGCCACCCTCTTCTTCCACCTTGATAACCCTCTGCCTTTCCCACCCTGGTCATCTGGTCATCGGATGGCCAGAAGTCTCCCTCCTACAGCCTCTCTACCTAGATCAGGGAGATTAGAGCAAGCAAAGGAGATTTCTGGAAGGGGTAGTGCCCGAATGTGTGGTCCTGGAAACATGGGCTGCCCTCTCCTCCGCTGTGCTAGGGACAGGGCCTGCCATCCAAGGGGCATCCCAGGGATGGTGGGAGGCAAGCACTTTGAACAGGATGGACAGTTCTGGCTCTGACAGCCAGTGGGCTCTCACCGGAAGCGGCACAAGATGACCATGGCAGTGGTGAGGGTGACGAGGGAAGTACTGTAGCCGACCGTGTAGAGGGCCTTCACCGACAGGTAGTAATAATCCTGGAGCGGGGCACAGGGACACGCAGGGCTCTACTTGGGACCAGCCACTACCCCCTAGGACCCACACCCAGCATCCCAGACCAGGGCCTGCCCACCCATGGGTCCAACATGGGTCCAACACCTCCCCCTGTCTGTCATCACTCCACTCCTGGCTGGATTCCTGCTCCTCTCTGCAAAAGGTCAGTACTCTAAGCATGTTCAGAATCTATTGAAGCAAGGGCCCTGATCAATCAGAACAGAAAGCAGCCTTAGCCACTTGAAGAAGGGTGGAAGAAACTCCCTGCTAGACCAGCATTGAGCCCTCAATTGCTGGGCTACATGGAAGGCAGTGTCCTGAAAAATCAGCCAGGGTTGAGGGGACTTGTGAAGGGACAGAGCTCCAGCAAAGTGAATGAACATCCTACACTCCCTGCTTCCAGCCCAGCATACAACAGGTGCTCATGTGTGCTCCCTGGAGCCCTGAGCTCCTCAGAACTAACCCTCCCATCAGGCTTACCTGATCCCCAGACTCAGGCTCATAGTCATCAAACCCACAAGCATCGAAGTAATGGGGGAAGGGCTCTGACCAGCCGTCCTCTGTGCAGTTCCGGCCCACGACCCCCATGTCTGCAGAGAACAGAAAGCTAAGCAAGGTGTGTGAATGGGTTTAAATGGCCCTGAAAATGAGTCAGAATAGGAATTCCTGAAAACCCAATCTTCACCTAGAAGGCCCAAGACTGAGTGATTGCTGAAGACCTGGCACTCATCTTTCATTGACGATGGTGGGGGCATGGGGGTAGGATGAATGAGCAACCTGATCCCTTAACCAAGAACCCAGCATGCCTGGACCGCTCCTGCAATATTCTGAAACACTCACCAGAGGAGGATCTGGAGCCTGCCCTGGGTCCTGGATCAGCACTTCTCAAAAGGTCAGTGTGCACCTAGAAACTCATCCCAAACACTGCTTCCAATCCAACCTCAACCCCAGCCCCAGGGACCCTAACAAGGCATCCAGAACATTCAAGACCTCCTCGGGTGACAGTGGGATAAGGATTCAGCCCACATGAACACAGAGCTCTGGGCCTCCCAGCAGCTGGAGCATCTCACACGGATGGGGCACCTGACTTACTGCTTTTAGCAAGCCCAGGCCTGCCCTCTCTCACTTCCAACCTTACAAAGCTTGTTTTGTTGCTTTCTTTTTGCCTTTCAGAGTTTTGCAGTCTGTCTCCTGACATCAATGTGCATTCATTCTCTTTGGACTGACTTTAAGGTCATTGTGTGGGACTCTGGAGGGACAGAGCAGTCGCGGCTACTGGCAGAGGCATTTGCTACCTGCAAAGCAGTGGGCAGGCTATTTTTCATGTGAGTGGGTTGCTTCAGCCTTGAATGACATCATGTCATTTTGAGCCTGCGAGAGCCTCTAAGGTCCAGGAAAGCACAAGGCAAGTAGGCCTTTTCTTCCAGCCAGCACTAGACACTTGTCCCTATCTGGCAGCTCAAGAGTTACCCATCTCTTAGGAAACAGTGAAAGGAACAGGACTTGGGGTAGTTTTAAATCCCCAGAGACAGAACAGAGAGGTTCAAACTTCAGTTGTACATCCTGGTCACTTTGTGGGCTTGGTAGGGCACAGATTCCAGGACCTCATCCTGCCCTCTCTGACATAGTCTTTGGGTTTCAGAGACCAGCGAGCCGGGCGTTGATGGCGCATGCACTGGGGAGGCAGAGGCAGGTGAATCTCTGTGAGTTCAAGGCCAGCCTGGTCTACAGAGTGAGTGCCAGGATAGCCTCCAAAGCCACAGAGAAACTCTGTCTCAAAACAAACAAACAGACATAAAACAACAGAGACCTGTGACTTGAGTATGGTAAAAGACCACTGCTGGGAAGATCCTGTCCTCTGTGATTAAGGTAGCTTCTGGGGAGCTCAACAAGGAGGTGATGGATCAGTGTGGGGCAGAAGGGAGGGGGAAAGACCCCTCACTTTTCTAACCAGCAGCTATTCTTGCTGGTAGATTTAGAAGGTGTAAAGCCAGTTGCCTTCAGCCAAGAGCATTGGACATACCCTCCCTAGGATTTGGAGGAATGGGGCGGGAGGAACAGCAGAACAATGACACTGCCCAGAACAACCTGGGAGGTTCTGCAGCTTCTCTGACACCAGTGATAGCCAAGAAGGGAGTCCAGCAGGCCAGGGACTTCACTCTTTAATGGTGTCACCAGATTGTCTCCTCTTCTGAAAAATTTGTCTCAGGCTGCTGCTGGCAACCTCATTTCAAGGCTCCTGAACAGTTCAGAAAGTCTGAATGCCCCCCCCCCCGCCCCATCTCCCCTGGGAGGCAGATGGCCAAGCCACTGGCCTCTCTGGGCTTTGGTTGACTCTGCTTTGCCTATCTCAAAGAGGTAGGAAGAAGAAAGCAACTAAAGGTGCACAGGGATTTGGAAATCAATTAGAAAAAAAGCTTCCTAGAGGGAAAAGCCATTTCCTGTCTTTTATTTTCCCTCTTTATTTTAATAGCACGATGTAGGCTCAGAAAAATATAAACCTTTTACTTCCCAAAATGGTTCCATGAATATTGTTCTGACAGAAATCTCCGGAAGATGGGGCGCTCTCCAGATTGTCACAGCCCTCAGTGACAGCATCTCTTTCACTGGGTTGTTTTTGCTCCAGCAATGCCGTAGGAGGATAGCACCGTCCTGATAGGGCCCCACCCTATCACCTGGAGACTGGCTGGCCATGCATCTGGTCCCATTCCAGCTGGCTGCGTCAGAGACTGGGGTGAAGCCCCACTCTGCACTTTCCCAAGTCTGCAGAGAGCAGGAGTGGGATAGGGAGGCTGCATGTCACCCAGCCACCGCACATCTCTCTGGAACACAGCCTCTTGCAGCTCCAGTCCCTAGCCATGGCTGTGATGCTCAGGCTGGTGCAAGGCTTGGCCCCATCCAGGAGACTGGAGTGCAAAGCTCAAGTCTGAGAACTTCTGTGGGAGGTCCAAAGCCACCAAAGCCTTGCAATCCGGAGGCTCCACGCTCACAATACATGAAGGGCTTCAAGACACCCCTAGATCCCCACCTGCCCAGCACATGATTACATGCATGATGGACGTAGCATCTTCTCTCTGGGGACCCAAGTGCCATCTTCCAAGGAGACAACACCCAGCTTTCTCAGGGAAGCCACTCACTCAAGACCACACACAGGATGAAGTCCAGCTACAAAGCAGGTCTCAGAGCTCTCATGGCAGCTGCCCTCCAACCCCACCAGCCCAAGGTAGCTCTAGCTCCCCACTCACCTGTGATTTCCAAGGAATTACTATCAGCAAAACCAGAATCCCCTGCAAAACAGAAACATGGATCAGAATTCTGCATTTGCCAGCCGGCCCCATTATCCAAGGCTAAGGACTGCAGTGAGTGCTTTGGGATCAAGAGGCTACCTCTCACTCAGCAGCTGCTCATTTCTCTGGTACACACCCTCTCACAAGGGTGGCTATGATGCTCAGAGTGGTCCACGGTTTGGTCCCCACCAGAGAACCTCCAGGATGGGGAAAAGGTAAGCCTGGGGTTTGGGGTTCTTTCCTAACCTCTACTGGTGCTCTGTCTGTTTTTTAACCAAGGGAACCCCCAAATCCCAAAAAGTTTGTCTGCAGTTTTCTCCCAACTCCATAACCTTTATTCTGATATTTCTCTAAGGATGGCCTGGGAGTTAAGCCCATTTCCTCTCAACTTTTCAAAATCCATTTCTAAACTTCCCTGTCCTGCTACCCCCCCCCAATAATCTGCCCTTAATTCTCTTCTCTTCTCTTGCTCAGTAGGTACCTGCCCACCTCCCTGCTGCTGGAATGATGGTCTCCACGTGAACTCACAAACAGGGCCATGCACGCACTATGCACCCACTTGGTTTCCAACCCCTCCATTGGTGACAAACTCCTGACTGAGCTTTAAAGGGCCTTGAAACCAACCACTGTGTCCTCCATCTCTCCTAGCCTCCATGATGGCCAAATTATGGGTGGGAGGGAAGAAGCTGGTCCCTGAAGGTCCTGTCATGCACATTACCCCACCTGACCATCATTCCAGCAGCCAGGGGCATTGGACCTCCTAAGGGTGAACTCCTGCTAGGCAGACGGAATTCTGTCTGTGCTCCCAAGTGTCCTCTTACCTATGGTTTCTGTCATCCAAACTGTATGGAGAGAGAGAGAGAGAGAGAGAGAGAGAGAGAGAGAGAGAGAGAGAGAGAGAGAGAGAGAACATGAATATGATTACAGAAGTGAGCAGATCTAAAGTAAGGTCTGTTCTCACAGGGCATTCTCCCCCAACCCCCCAACTCTGAGAGAGCTCTGCTAGGATCCTGAAGGCCTGAGGATCCCATGCTAGGACCTAGCAGGCTCAGGGAGGCCTCTAACTCCACCCCCAGGTCAGTACCTGAGGAGGAAGGGGAGGCATTGACCAGGGCTCCCACAAAGCCAGCACCTCCGGAAGGCCTATCCAACACCACTGTCACTGAGCTTCCCGGGAATGAGAAAGCAAAGAGAGTCTGCGGTGCCCTCCCTTCTGTGGGGAGGGCAGGTCTCACCACCAGGCTCGTGAAGAGAGGTGCTGAAGGCCCTGCTTTAATGAACCATTAGGAGCCAGGTGTAAATAACATTCCCCGCTCCCTGAGGCGGGTGCGGCTGAGGAAAATCATTTTACCCTCATTCCTGTCACCTCTTGTGGCTGCTACTGTAGGGAGGGGTGGGGGAGGTTTTGTGGCTGGAATTTTGCCTAGGGAGGATGTTCCAGAAGCTTCAACTAACTGAAATAAAGCAATGGGTAGTGCATGGAGGGAGGGATTAAGCTGGATTCCATGGGAATAAATCTTAGTGTTCGGCCCTGTCCCTGACAGCCTCCATCTTCCCTCCATGCACTCTGCCTCTCTACCTAGATCCTCCTCCAGAATTCACCCTCTGGCCTGCCCTGGGCCCAGCCCTCAGGATATGAACATTCAGAAAACAGCTTCTTCTGGGCTAGCAGGAGACAAGATGTGGGCTGAAGCGAGGAGGGTTATACAGACAAACCCGCCTTCTCTGGATGGAGGGGGTCAGGACCCCAGTGAGGACCACTCCTTCTCCCCCTCCTCCTGCAAGCCAGGGAGAGGCAAATGATTGGCTGTGGCCTCCCAGAAAAGACCTAACACTAGCCCCATGAAGTCAGGCACACTGGGGTCTTGTCTTTGGGCAGAGTATTTCCTTGCTCCCTGATTCACAAATATCATTGTGCCCATTCCGTGGGTTTCCAGTTTGGCCCCAGGAAGTCTACACATCATCTCAGTGGCACCAGAGGCCATGAGCAGACACACCATGTGAACTCCACGGAACCCTCCACTCGGCTCTGGTTTCTTGGCACAGGCTGGCTTGTCTTATGTCAACTTGACGTGCAAGCCAGAGGTAGCTGAAAGGAGGGAATCTCAATGAGAAAATGCCTCTTTGAGAGCCAGAGAAAGGCATTTTCTGAATTAGTGATTGATGGGGGAGGACCCAGCCCAATGTGGGTGGTGCCATCCCTGAGCAGGCGGTCCTGAGTTCTATAAGAAAGCAGACTGAGCAAGCCAGGGGAAGCAAGCTTCTGTGGCATCTCCGTGGCTATGTCATCATCGTGGTAACTGAGATGATGTCGTCAGCTAACTTCCCTACTGAATATGCTACACAGCATCTCTCTAAGTTACCTCACTTTATCCTTATAGACCATCTGGGAGACAGCCACTGTGTCACATTACTATCTGCTAAAACAAAACCTTGAGGACGGTCTGCCTTGCTGAAGGTCCCTAGCGGGATAAGCAGTAGAGCCCAGATTGCTCTCACCTACCAAGACACTCACCCAGCAATGCATACCTGGCATACCTGGAGAAGCGTTTCCATGTCCTATACCAACATGAAGAACACCATCCCATCCTGTCTGCCATCTGCCCATCAGGTCCCTGAGTCCCTGAAGCTGAGCTCTAGGCAGGGGTATGGCTTTGTGGACTGCAGGCTAAACCAACAGCTGGGAGAGAGTCTGGGTTTGACTTACCTTGGTCCGGGTTGAAGATCCTGAAGACCTCAGGGCAGCTCACAAGGACCATCTCACCTATTTGAGCAGGCTTCCAACATGTGATATTGTCCCACATGCCAGGGCAACCTGGAGGAGAGAGCTACCATGAGAGTGTGCCTATGTGCCTAGCCATATACACACCGCATGCACACACATGTACACATACCACAACCGAACACAGACACCATACGCATCCCACATAGGCAGACACACACACACACAACACGTAAGACAGATGTATACACTTTATGCCCCCTCTGTAATGGCTAGTTTAAAATATCAACTTGATTTAGAATCACCTAGGAGATGGTGAGGCACTCCTCTGGTGATGGTGAGGGTTAACTAAGGAGAAAAGATCCACCCTGAACATGGGTGGCATTACCTGTGGGTGAGCTGGTATCCTGGGCAAATTAAAGCGAGGAAAGGAGAAAGCTAGTGGGGTGCTATCATTCCCCATTTATTTGCTTCTTAGGCACCATACATGAGCTGAGCTACTCTACCGTGCCTCCCCAACCACAAACAGAACTCCTGGAGCTGTGAGCTAAAATAAATCTTCCCTTGTTATTTCTATTAGGTATTGCAATCAGGTGATAACTGATAAACAACAGTCCCACACCATACACAAGTACCACACACACACACACACACACACACACACACACACACACACACACACACACACTTTGCACGAACTGCTCAGAAGTTGGCCCTTGCAGAAGGCAAACATTTTACAAGGAGAGAAGGTAAGTCTTCCTGTGTGGGGAAGGCTGGCTCCTGTACCCAGAAAAGCCCCCCATGAATATTTCAGAAAGACACTGTAGGAACTTCAGAGCAGGAGGCTCCGTGGAAGGCCTTCCTCTCCATGCCACAGCCGGCCTGCAGCCTGCCAGACACCTGCATTCTCCTAGTCTCACCACCATTGTGGGCTCTGGCAACATGTTCACCTCCACAGTGAGGCTCATTCCTCCATGGGAGCTGGGCTGAGGCCAGACCAGCTGGTCTGAGGCTGCACCCCACAGCCCACCTCCTTCCCAGCGTAGGCCTGGAGCAAGGATCTGCCACACACAAAGCTGGCCCCCGAAGTGAAGCCACAGCTTCCCCAGCTGAGAGGATGGAAAGCACCCAGACAGAAGCTTGGAAGTGACTGTAGAAAGACTTGGAACGGAGAGAGGTGATGGAGGCAGAGTCCTTGAGGAGGCCAAGGTGAGAGTCTTGTGGGGACCGGCTGGCAGGGGGGAAGGGACAGGTGCACAGCAAGACTTAGGAATCATCAAGTCTTCCTGGGGTGAGCAGTGAGGAAGAGTTTGTCAGGCTCATCTAGCTCTGATTTGGGAGGTTTGGTGGCTCCTTCGGTGCCTTCTCTCCCTGCACGGCCACCATCTCTCCCCACCCCTCCTCTGCACTGCGGCAGCACTCCCCAAGGTCAACAACCACCTCTTCTCTGCCAGATCCTAAGAACAATTTCAACTCCAGCTGGGCTGTACTCTGCCCACCTGACTGGCTACAGACTTGGGAGTCATCCTGTCTTGGGTCACTCACCTTGGATGAGCTCACCCTGCTCAGGGACTTAATAGAATCACATGTTGACATTTCTAGTCTTTGGCCTCTAGCCACTCTCTGGGCGGAACCCCAAGGTTAGTTACCTACTGCATTTTTCCACTTTGGGAGCTCAAAGACAATCAAATGCAAGAGTTCTGGACTCCACCCAGACCCTCCTACTAACCTCACATCTGTGTCAGCCCAGCTAGATACCTGAGAGTCACTTACTGCATCTCCATCATGGGCAGCATCAAGCCCTGCATGGTTCCCTCCAGACATACATGAACCCTATCCACCTTTACTGAGATCACAGCCTCCTCCCAGATCTCACCCAGCTAGGACCCAAATCTTCTCAAACTGCATGGCTTGGTGACTCCCCACATCAACCATTAAGATTTGTGTTCTTCTTATCCCAACTCATAAGCATGACACCTGCTGCCCCTGCGCTGCCTACCTGTCCCTGTCCCTACCTGGCCTGCCAGGCTAGCTTCCCCTTGAGCGTGTGAGTGGTGAGGCATGCCTTTGTGGTTGTGAGCCTGGCCTTTAATGGCTGAGCCATCTCTCTAGCTTATGAGTCATGTCTCCCAAGGAAAGGACGTGAAGACGGAAAGCAAGGAGGAGGAAGCCCCAGGGTACCACACTTAGGAGTTAACAAAGGAGGAGGAAGCCCAGGGTACCACACTTAGGAGTTAACAAAGGAAGCACGGGTAGTGATGGGTGGTGACGCAGTGGAGAGTACATGACAAAAGTGCAAGGGGGCTGGGGGGGGTGCAGAGCATGTCAGACAGCAGCAGAGAGCTTCAGGAAAGGAGCCTGACCTGCCGAAGGTCTACGGGTGGGAGAGCATCAGTGTCCCATAAGGGAAGTGAGTGACTGGCCGTCCCACCTCCCAGGACAGCTAGGGGGACTAACGAGTTCCTATACAGAAAGTTCTATGATCAGCACCATGCTGACTTCACGCATGTTGGCTGTCACTAGCCTTAGTTTTATTATTTCAACTAGCTGCCCCTGGGAATCACTCCCCAGAGAGGCAGCCCTGCTGGGGACATAGAAGCTCAGTGACCAGCTGCTGACAGACACAGAGCAAACCTGAGCAGGCAGAGCAGCGGCCTGGGCAGGATTCCTGACCGCATGGCTCTTCTGTCACAAAAATGACTTCTGGCAGCCCAAGACATTCTCAGCTTATAGGTCTCTTAGAATTTAGACCTTGCTGCTTGGACATTCACACTAGTGACACTGGCCTGTGGCATCCTGCTTATGGAATGACACCCTCTGGGAGCTGGGAAAATTGTTAACGCTCTATATGCTGAGTCTAAGTGTACAAACACTCAGTGGACCAGATGAGGAAAGTCATCTATGTCCCATGAGGCCACTATCAATGATTCCTGTCCACCCAGGATGTCTCGCCAGTGCACAATTGGCTCTGACATTGTGTCCTTGAAAGACACCCAACAGTATATCTTTGGCTGCCATGGCCCATGCTAACTGTGAAATGCCCACTAAGCATGGCCACGTTTGGCCCATACCCCAGAAGCCCTGGCCAGCAGATGTTCCCATTATTGGGACATTAGGCCCTGGCACAGCAAGCTGCTATTCCAGATGACAATGCAGAGGGCAGGGAGTCACACAGAGGGCACAGATGTGAGGGCTGAGGGGCAAGGAGTGGCTGCAGCCGGGACCCTGAGCCGGGGCTCAGAGGTGGAAGCAGGGTAAATGATGCATGGTCTTAATGAGAGATCTCTCAGCGGCTTCCCTGTACCAGATGTACATGAAACTGACAAGGGGACACAGCTGTAGGAAGGGCAGGGAGGGCCTCCCTCCTGAGTCTGCCTAGAAGAGCCCAGATTTATGTGTGGTCTCCTCTGCTGTGACTCACAGACCAACGTCAGAGACAGAGCCAGGTGTCTGTCAGTACCCCAACCATGAGTGGCCAGAGCTGGGGTCTGGAACAGAGAGTTCACAGGACTGTCTGCTGCCTCTGGGATGACAGGAGCCACCAGGACTACTTTCTGGTCCATCTGCCAAGGATCTTGGCAAGGATTCCCAAGGATCTACCTCTCATAAGCCTGGAAACTCTCCCAGTCCTAAATTCTGCCCCCAGTTTTGTCTTCTCATGAGGCCAGGACATCAAGAAAATGCAGAACAAGATCTCCAGGACCTCAGGACCTATGGGTGCGAGCGAGGCACACACCTATACAAACTGGCCGCCTTTAGACACGACAGGAGGTGGGCTTGCAACAGGGCCTTTAGACATGACGGGAGGTGGGCTCGCAACAGGGCCTTTAGGTGCTCTGGCTGAGGACAGAAACTGTGTCCCCGCCACACACACAGATCACACACAGTTTCCACAGCTCGGCAAGCTAATTTTGGTGGCAACTGAAGCCTTCACAATGCCTGTGCTCTTCCACTCCCCTCCTTTCATCCTTTTCTCCCTCCCCTTGCTACTTTTCCTTTTCATTTGCTCATTAATTCAAAAGACATTAAGTAGAGACACAATGGATTCAGCAGTACAGATGAAGCAGAAGCAGCCAGTCTGGGCCTCGTGGAGCTTATAATGGTTTGGAGTACTATGCTGAGTGAGTGTTATGCTAGTTTCCTATTGGGGCTGGAGGTTCATACGGCAATTTAGCATCTTTTGGGCAGCACAAGTTACTATCATTCCATCATGGAGGAAAGAGGCCTGAAATGAGTCTCACCCAGCTAAGATGGGGCATCAGCAAGACTGTTAGAGGTCTGAGGGGATGAGCCTTTCAAAGATCCCAAATTCAAGGAGTCACCAGAGTTTTTAGGCTTTGTGGTCCTTCCCCAGCTCAAAGTTAGGAGCTTGGCTTCCCATGCTTCCTCAACCCTTGAGACCACATACTGCTGTGCAATGTTTGTTTCACTAGTTAAAGATGTGTTGCATTTGTTAGGCTGCATTTGTTTAATGATGGAAAGATGTATGGCTTTGCCTTCCTAAGGCACCGATTGATCTAATAAAAAGCTGAAAGGTCAATATCCAGGCAGTAGAGGGAAGGGGTGCTGGTGAGCAGAAAGAATAAAGAGGAGGAGGACTCTGGTCTGAGAGGGAGAGAGAGAAAAGAACAAGAGAGAAAGAGAAGGAGATACCAGGAGCCAGCCAGACAAACAGACAGACACATAGAAGGACATACAGAATGAAAGAAAGGTTAAAAAGTCCAGAGGCAAAGGGTAGATGAAGAGAAACAGGTTGATTTAAGTTATAAGAGCTGTTGGGACAAACATTAAGATAAGGCTGAGCATTAAGTCACCGTGTCATGACTTGGAAGTTGCTTGTGGCCCAAAAGAAACCTGTTTCATCATACAGAGGGTGTCAGTGTTCCACCAGGGAAGGAGCCTGGGTCTCTTAATGACCAGGCAACGCTAAATTCTATCTTCCCACTGTAGCTAACTGTACTGACTGATGACTTGCATAAGAAAAAAGAAACACCATTGTTCTAATCTCTGGATTTAAGGTTGACTTGTAACTGCAGCACAGTGTATGTGATGATGACTCATGTACCAGAGAGGTAAGAAAGTATCGCTGATGT